GTTCGTTTCCCGTACGGAACACTTTGGGACATACACAAATTGCGGGCGCGGTTCTGAGTGGCTTATGCCCTAACAAAACAGCAGAACATTCCGATATAGGGCAACCTTTTTGGAGAAAAATGCAATGAATAGTTTTTTATACGTTATAATATTTAAGGATTTATGATGGAGTAGAGTACCTAGTATTTAGGTACTTCTCCAAGATAATATATTATGATAAATTACGCTAGTGAATAATTCATCGGTCCCTCGATTATCGATTCTGATAAAACACGGCGATGGTACCCATTTCTTGTTAGTTTAACTTCTTGATCCTTGTAATAGCGAATGAACATTTCTCTAAAAGACAAGTAATATTTGAGGCACTAGGTTTAATTATCAAGTTGATAAAAAGCGAAGTTTTTATTCGATAAAGAACGAAAATGAACGGTTCTAGATAAGAATGTGTGTTTTTTTACTTAGACAGGATTCTAAAAGTCTCTAAGAAATTTCGAGATAAATAAAAACATCATATTTACCTACTATCTATTTTTAAATAAAAATCTTGTGTTTTTTTACACGAGATCACACACACACACACGATGATCGTTTTTTTTTTATTTAACATGATTTTTGTTACGTCCCTTGACAAAAAAAAACACTATTATTAGATTATAATCATATAGAAAAAAAAACAATCTATTAGATCCACAATACATATCTACCTAAAATGTGTATCTAAATCATAAAATCTAAGTAGAAACGTAAACAAACCCGCCACACTTACATCACATTTCTCCCTAAAAATACCTCTGAAAAATAAACCTTAACACTGATTAATATATTGACGGCTTAGCAAGTTTCGGTTGAATTTCCAGGGCTGAGCCCCGCCTCATTTAAGTTTGGCTGTGCGCCGAGCTCTGATGAATGAGACAATTAATTGCCTTTGACTTTTATTCGCATAGATTAATTAATAACGAGAACTTAATCGTACGTCTTTATTAAAGGGCTGGAAAGCCGACGAGTTTCTTGTTTAATAGTAATTTATTGTCATACTGATAGTTTTGCTTATATTTATTTGCTTTCTGGATATTGTTAATGTAATTGCTTTGTTGCAGGATTTTTGTTGTTATGAAAGGATTTATCGTGTCAATTTAATAGCTCTCAATAATTCCAATTGTCATGATTTGCAGTGAAATGAATTTTAAAATGTTGTTACATATTATGTTTTATTTATTACAATTACTGTCCCATTTATTTTAAGTTATAACTCATTTTATCGAAATAAGCACTTAATCCAATCAGTATTATAGTATCGTAAGCTCTTGAACCAATTTCATTTGAAAAAGCCCTATGTTGCCAGTGTCAAAAGAATAAGAAAAACTAATTAACTTCGACAAAAATGAGTTGGTATTTTTTATTTTATATAAAAAAAAGATTTTTTATTTTATTTTAAACAAAGAACCTACAAAATGGAATAGCTGATATTATATTTCAAAAAAAAGTAAGCAGTCAATTAACTGGACATCTGTTGCTGTGGTTTCGTTTGGTATTGACAGGTTCATGAATATTTATGGTGGCCAGAATGGAAGTAAGGATGAAAGCATCCATATTTTATTAAAGTACAATGTTGCATAATTATTTATTAATAGCCCTGTTTACACCTCGGAATATCAAAAGGTTATTTGAGTCAATCGGGAATTGTTAAATCAGAATATTGTATAAGTCATGATCTCTCGCCATATTGAATATTTTATCGTAAAATGTTTAAAGTTAGGAATTAATTTTATCGTAGCGTCCGCGTCGGTGTGAAAAATTTAAAGGATGTAGGTAATGGAATGAGATGGCATTAAATTTGACTGGAAGTGACGAATCGGAACTTCAATGGATATTTGCTATCCATCGGAATTCGCATATCGGTAGATAGGAAAATGGTGCATGGTACCTACCTAATTCTTGAAAGAGTGAAATTCTGATTAATTTTGTATGTACATAAATGTTACACCAGTGGTGAAGAAAAAGTTTCAAATTAATATTTCCTATGGTATGTATACGAAGTTTTATATAGTTTTGTAAAAACAATCCTTAGTAACAAAACCATTCTTATAAAAGTTGAGTCATTTCTTCATCGACATCATCAGCCTGAAAGAACCCACTGTTAAAAGGCCTCTTTTACCGTGGAGAAAGTTTGAGCATTTATCATCACGCTAGCACAGGCCACGCCACAATTGGCGATTTTAGACTGATAATCAGAAATGAAAAGACCAATTTTCCTCATGATATTGTTTCAAATAAACTTAAAAAAATATTTAACTCGGAAAAAGTCACATTAGTATTCACTGGGTTCTCAACTCAACCGCTAGCATGAGAGGTGAGCGCTTTGACCTCGTGTCACCATGGCACAATTCATAGGTAGATATAACGATTTTTCATTATTGTAAACATCGAAATAATCACAATAATCACAATTCAAACTTCAATTACTGTTACCCATTACACATGGATGAAAATAGCTGTAATAGTTCAGTATTAACCTTATTGTTTTCAAACTTTTTGTAACACTGACCTACTTTTTTCTTTATATGTATTTATAGGAACCTATTATTTTCATTTAACTTCATCACTTATTTATTTATATATATGTATATATACCAGTTTTAAAGGCTACCAAATTCGATTTATTTTCATATAAAGAAAAGGTTGTTATAAAATATAATTTAAAAAAAGTTGCAGTGAAAATTGGAAAGTAGCCATCCTTTTTAGCGCTGTAACCGTTTCCTAACAAAACAAATAAATGGCACCGAGATAGTTGGAATAAATACCATATATTTTGATTAGAGATACGAAACGATCGGGCATATCGAAAAGCATTTCGTCAGTTCCTTTGGGATCAATTCATCAACCCTTGTCTGAATATCTATTAGGAACTATAACTATCAGCACAAGAAACTAGCCTAATCTGTACATAATCTGATTGAATTTCAACGTTATCAAAAAGTAGCATGGTTTAAATTAGAATAAATAATTTCGGGTAGCTCAATGAGCTGTTTTTGTTTCTTTTTAAGGAAAATATCAACATTCAAATCGTATCGTATAAATTTAATGGTATTGAAAGGGTTGTACCAAAAACATGTATTTAATATTCCGACCCTCGTTTGTAGTTATTATCATAATCTCATAAATAAGGAAATAGTTCGGTGTTGTATAGGAACTTCGCTCCTAGAAACTTGGTCTTGATTCCGGAACTGAAACGTGATAGGATTTATGAAATAAATAATTTTCTATTTCGGTATAGTATAATATATTGCATCTTATATTTAGATAAGTATTAATTTTCCGGACTTGTTGGTCAAGTGTATTGTTATCTTTAAATTAACTGTCGGGCCAGAAAAAGAACTAAAAAATATTTTTGAAAAATAAATTTGTAGAAATAGTGGGATAGGATATTAATATTATTATTAAATGTATGGCTAGAAAATATACCAATAATTCTAGATAATGGACGTTAAAATAAACGTTACCGAGCCTGATTATTAGGGCTTTAAACAGAAAAGAAGTATGAGAACTGATTTTCTCCGAAGATGTAGCTCAGTGTTCTCAAGTTAGCCATATTAATTATTGTAATTGATTTACCTTCCCAGAGGCAACGAAATGTTTAATAAGCAAACTTCAAGTGCTTAGTAACTTTAGTCAGCCAGAAATCGATAGCAGCGCTTTATTACCTTTTAGTATTAGCTTCAACTATTTGACAGTGATTAGGGTAACTTATTATGAAGTTGGTCCAAATGAGAGAGAGAATTAGGAAGAACAGGTCCTGTTGACATTATTTTTACAGCAATAGGGTAGGTTTTTTGGGTTCCGTAGTAAACTAGGTGTCCTCATCATAATCATGATCATCATAAGTGCTGACTGCTGACCAAAAGCCTCTTCTCATACGGAGAAGGCTAGAGCATTAATCACCACGCTTGCTCAATGCGGGTTGATGCGGTTATAATTACAAATTTTAAGTCCAGGTTTCCTCACGATGTTTACCTTCACCGTATGCCAGTGGTGTCTAAATAATCATAGAAAGTACATATAACTCGGAAAAAGTCACATTGGTATTCGCCAGGTTTCGAACCCATACCCTCATGCATGAGAAGCGGGCTGCTTAACCTCCGGGCTACCACGACATTTTTAACCTGGATAGTAATTTGCAGTTAACTGATAGTTTCTATACACAAAGGTCGTACTGATTCGTCTGTAACATGAGATTTTAATAAAACGTTTCTATTTCTACTATATTTTAGCATTCGGGTCGCGCCCTCGATATTGTTCTAATATTAGCGACGATTTGAATTCAATTAAAATATTATTTTCATAAATGTAAAATTTAAATTGGCGAGAGTTTTTATGGAATTTTGCACTAACGCAGAAGTCAAAATGGTCGTACTTTTTTCAATTAAAACCACACGATAATGTCATGATTATCATCCACAATGTTTTACGAAAGATACTGTGATAATATATTACTTAATAACTATTTATTTTCACTTCAGTACAAATAATGACTATTTGCACTTGCTCCTTCTTGTCTGATTTTCAACTAAGTAACATTAAATATGTTTTGCATACAAATATCAAATATTTATTTAAATTACTTTTATTACGAAAAGTCAATTCATTTGGAACACATAGAGACCAGAAATAGTTTGAATAAATAAACATGGGTATTACAGACTAAAACCAATATACATACGGTACTGATAATGGAAAGGCACAATAAGAACATAGACTTGCAGTAATTACATGAAAAATGTGGTAAAACATCAAAAGGCTACTTGAGCGTTCTATTTTTATGATAGGTCGGCAAACGAGCAAACGCATTACCTGATGGTAAGCAATCAGCGTCGCCCCTGGACACCCGCAACGATGAAGAAGTTACGAGTGCGTTGTCGACCTTTTGGGGATTAGGGATTTGGAGATTTTGGGAAAGGGATCGGATTGGGGTAGGGGAAGGATTGGGCCTCCGGTAACCTTACCCACACGGCGAAACACAACTCTTTGTTTATTTCACGGCGGTTTTCTGTGATGCCGTGGTATCTCTCCGGTTGAGCCGACCCATTCGTGCCGAAGCTTGGCTCACCGTTCATCGTTCTGAATAGATCATGTTCGCCAATAAAGCGAGAAAGAAGAGAGAGGATTTCGCAAGAGAAAGGATATTTTAATTACATGATGTCCTATCGATGAAAATCGATGAAGAATAACGTACGTAAGAATTCGTCGTTGAAATCTTCTAATACAGTATTATTTACATAAAAATCTTTAAGATTCTTCTTTAAGATCTTTAAGATTATGACTATCTTGATGTGAGGTTTTGATAAGGTTTTGTTGGATGAGGTGAATTGGTGGATATCTTAATATCCTGGGATTTCTCCATGCCCGGGTGTCGAAGCGTCCAATGATCCCGACTATCACGCTGTCTACGACAATTGTTGCATCTGTCCAACCCAAAATTCAGACTATAGTTTTAATCAACAATATTGAGATTGGATATTCAGTCGAAACTTGTAAACATACAGTAGCTACAGCTTAGTTTAGAACAATGACATAAAAAATGACATTGGTGGTTCTGTATGTTGATATAAGTATAATAAAAAGTGAGGTTGGTATATGATAAATTATTAAGAGATTGAGCCCCATTTAGAGTTCCATCAATCGTAAGTAAGATTAAGTATAAAGGACCAAATCATCTTAATTAAGGATCAAATACTGCCAACAATGCAAGTGTGGATATACCTTTAGGCAATAGGAATAAAACCTCTATCAATGCGCAAATATCACATGCGTCTCTACTGCAAACATATTATTGTATGCTTAAGATAAGGGTGTTTAATAGCAATTCAAGAATTAAAGGTTAATTATTCGATTGTCTCTGCTTTTTCGATTTGATTAAAATACTTCAAAAAAGTTATTCAATGAACCATGTTTGAAATCGCGAGTATGTCATGATCCTGGATTCACCTCCCCTCCTTGGCCTCCCCTTCTAAAAAGGTTGTGTCTTTCTCTTATCACAGGGATTGAAGAAATCATTTCTATTATATCAGGAAAAGGTTTTGACAAAAGTCGCGGTAGCAACGAGGTTGGTGGTAACCCTATCCTACCTTAATATTTTATACCTTCCTCATCTTGATGAAGAAGAGGTAAGGTTATCTCTTGAAATAATCTCCGGTCACCGAAAGCACGGGTCTGCGGACGGCGAGTATAGATAGCTCGCCTCCCGATCACAATGAACCCCGAGAGTAGTTTTCCACGCGCGCCTCAAAGAGTCAATAGACCATTACAGTCGGGGCAATACAGGGTTCATGTTCAGCCGAGGTTGCGAGGTAAGCGCAAGGTGGCATTGAGACCTCGGCCCAAAACAGGAGAAGGAACGGGGGCGTTTTAGTCGGTAAGAGTCTGTCTGACACTCTCACTCGCCTTACCCTGGGCGAGAGAAGTAATTTGATGATTTTCTACTGACGATAAAAAAATCCCGTCCTCATAACCTCGCGGGTCACACATCACTTATACATTTAGCTAAAACTTATAGGAAGCACTATAAAAGTTGAAAGAATCAAAAATTACAAAGGATATAATGTAAAATTATTTAATTACTAAAGTGTGGATAAGGATAAATAGTTTACCCTTTAACTTTGTAGGTGTATGTTGCCTTGCGGTTAACGTTCCTAAAGTAATATAACTAATTTCGGAGCTATTTGAGAGCAACAGTGACGCAAATATCACTTGTCAAAACTTCCATAGTTTTCAATAAAAGAAACTGAAAAATTTTGCATAAATATGTAGTTTTATTTTTACAATTGAGTTTTTTTTCCTAAAAATAATAGAACTACAAATGGTGGCCAATAATTTGTGATTTTTTATGTTTGAAAATCTGATTTGTTTGATAGATGTAGAGAGGTTTAATTTGTAGATAGAATTGTTAACCTCTATCGGTTTTCTTTTAGGGTAGAAATGTTGAGTCCTCGGCCTTAAATAAAAAAGAACTTTTCATAGGCCTGTAATTGATTTACTCACCAAAAACACAAAGCAATATGTTTATTGTATATAATAAAGAAAAAACAAGCAATAAAGCCATAAGCCTAAAACTTAAATTAAGCAAATAAACTTTGTCTTTCCTTTAAGACGTAATATTTTCTTAAGTTTCTATTTTTTTTAAGACAGCATTCTATCTTGCATATTTTCTAATTCATCAGCAAATTTGAACAGTTCTGATTAAATGGTTCTTGGTATAAATATGCCGTTATCAACTTCTATCTTCATTGTAAGTTGAAAATGTTGTGCAAAGTATTATTCAATGTCATTTTAATATTCCACTTTGTTACGTGAACGTTACCGGGGAGTAATGGCAGTGTCTACTGAAAATGCGATGAGCGGCAAGAAGGGGAATCCTTGTATGCAATGGTTGGTGGCTATGCTAGGTAGGTAAAGTTTTCATCTATAAATAAATTTCTATTTGGATATAATTAAGACTAATGAAAATTAAGTTTCTTTTTTGTCTGTAATTTGGAGATCAATGTTACTAAGCGTGCGAGCGTGTATTGCGAACGGCGAACATAGTTTGCACAACTACAATTTTTTTTAACTACAATTTGGCAACTACTTTTAAAATCCAAACTATTTGGAAGATAGATAGTGACATTTCACATAAAATACAAATGAAACTTCGCTCCAAGCAATTTTGTGATCACACTTAAACCCATAACTTGGCCACGTATTTCGCTGTCCCTGCCAATTTCATTCCAAACAAACACCAAACAGCAAAAAACAAATTTGAAAGCGACGCGCAATGTCTATCAGGAAATAACGGAACTGTTTCATTTGTAGCGAATACCACACTCCTAACATATGGGTTTCAAGCGGGCTGGGTGTCACCAATGACAAAAGTTTTACAATCAGAGGATTCGCCGGCCGGTTATCCGTTGTCAGACTATGAAATATCATGGATAGCAAGCTCTCTTTGTATAGCGGCGACGTTTGGAGTCTCTCTATTCGCGTATATCGTTGACAGATATGGAAGAAAAGTAGCAATTTTAATAATGGCTGCCTTGCAAGCGGTAAGTTCTTTTTAATTTTACGTTACACTTTTTAACACGCTTTAGTAATGACATTTAAACACTCATAATTGAGAAAATAAGTAGGAAGTTCTACGATTTTCCAATTAGACCAATTATTTTTACCTAACAAGAAACTATTATATTATCTATGTACTTTACTATAATCCTGCTATCGACAAAATTACAGACATTTTGTTTAGTTACATTTCAAATAATAAGCAATAGAACAAGGCATAATGGTACCTTCCAATCCTATCCTTCCCACTTAAATGTTGTAGGTTCAAGGCCGGTTTCAGAACAATCAGTTTATTTATGTTAATTGTTAGGCTTAACTAATACCTTCTCTGAATTGGTCAAGGATACAAAATTGGATCCGAGAACATTTGCTACACTATCCATGTTAGTTAAAGTGTTTTAATGTGGATAATTTCTTTGTTCTGTGTGTGTTTTTACGAGTTTGATCATCATGTTGGATATAAGGACTATAAAGTTTTTCTTTTTCAAAGCTACGAATGTCGTTATAGAAATAGTAAAGTAAGCTCCTAAACCGTCCAAATTTAATGCACTACTTTATATAAATTGTTTTCAGCTATGCTGGATCATGAAGTTATCCTCAGCACACATAGCAGTATTAATCATAGCCCGGTTGTGTACTGGGCTCTCTGCTGGAGGTTGTTACAACGTTGTACCAATGTACGTCAGAGAAATAAGCCAGGATGACATAAGAGGGGTGCTTGGATCCTTCATAATTCTGTTTCAAAATATTGGAATACTGGCAATGTTTGCGATGGGAGCGTACTTGAATTACTACACTGTGTTGTGGATCGTGGTTTGGGTGCCAGTATTAACTATAATACTGATGTTAAAGGCACCAGAATCACCAGCCTTTTTAGTGAAACAAGGGAAAATTGATGTGAGTATTACAATGACGATCATAGAATAACTTGCCATATGTACATATAATGAATACTTAAACTATTCTTTAATAACAATTTTGGTCTAAAATAATTGCTAGGTACTATGTGAACTGGGTTAAATAACTGTTTCTCATTCTCGTTTAGGAAGCGACATCAACCATAGCGTTCCTTCGAAAATTAGAAATCAACGACAAAGTCATACAAAATGAAATTGACCTTATGAAAAATGAAGAGCTTACTTATAAGTCACTGCCAAAGATTTCTTTCAAAACTATATGTGAGTAACAAAGTTTTTTTATCTGTATTTTTTAATATTAGTTCGTTCCACAAATAGTAAGACAGACTATTGTGAAAAATGTCGCGTGTCTTGACGTTCATTGTGATTTAATTGAAACTTTATTTTATTTACTTTGCACTATTGTAGGAGGGAATAAAATTCATGCATTGTTGCTTCTATCTTACCTCTGATTAAAACATTCTGATTGTGTCATGTGTCACTTTGGCAAAGCGAGATTTATTTTCGAAAGATTTAGACGTCAGGGGACTACTTTGTGTCAACTGATTTTGTTATTTTTATATCAATAATTTTTATGCCGATAAGGTGGTAGGTTTTTGTAAATATTGGATTTTACTATTAATTATAGATAAAATAAATGATCTGATCAATCTCTGGTCGTATGTAAGAGTACCAACCAGAAATAAAAAGGTTATAGTTAGGCTGTAATTAGGCATATAAATGTTTTGTACTTATTATAATTTGTTGATCTTTCAATAAACTTATTAAATCACTTTTCGTACTACGTACTTTCGTATAAGGCACCCGAATCTTAAATAACGCAGATTGGCTAAAGAATTATTAGGTTAGCCTTAAGACGGTTCCAGAATAATTCAAAGATAATTTGATAAACGGTCTAAAAATTGGTTTCTTTTTGTCGTTGGTCGTTCCTATTTCTGATTCCATCTTTAGGCTTAACCACTAGTCTGCCGGTATATGAGACACAATAGAAAACACATTGTGTCTCGCGTATATCTGAGCTCCGGCATACCACGGGTTAAATGTAATTCATTAACTTTCCGTCAGTTTTATCTGTGGCGTAAGCATTCTTTTGGTGAAATCCAGACTGTACTACAATTTGGTCCAAAGTTACTTGTCAACAGCTCAGTCTTTGCTTAGTCGTTCGACTTGTCTGCTTAAAGTTACTTATTTGAAATGTTTGCTTTAACATTATTTACATAATAATATGATATTTTCAGTCATGAACAAGGCATGGCGTCGTGGTATCATACTCATCTTGATTTTGGTGACATGTCAAACGAACAGTGGTAACTTCGCTATTTTGACATATTCGCCGGCCATTTTGAAATCAGCCGGCGTCACGTGGAACCCAGAGCTACAGACGTTGAGTTTCCCCGCAGTTATGATCCTTGCATCGTTTATTTCAATGAGTTGCGTCGAAAAGTTCGGTAGGAAGGTAAGCCTTCTAAATTTTATTATGATTTGTTGAAGTATCCCATATAAGAGTTGCAAATTATAAACACAGTATTGAACTATTTTTATAAATTTTTGGTAGATACCCGCTCCATGGAGTAAAGATTCAATTGTTACATTCTTTGGGTCACAGTCTAGGCTTCATACCATAACTTGAAATTTAGAATATAATAATTCAGTTCCTAAGAAGATGAGTACAGACCAGGGATCAATGCTTTTTTGAGGGAGAAAAATCAACAAATTACCTCTCCCGCGCTGGGTGTGGCTAGAGGGAGTGACTAAAGACTATCCCGTTAGTTCTCCTGCTCCTGGCCGGAGTCGCAGTCGGTACATCATTGCACTTGACTCACAACCCATTTTAAAATGACCTAAATGAAATTTATCATTCAAGTCATTTTAAAATTATCATTACAACTCAGATACTACTCATGCATTTTCTCTAGCCTGCGCCTAAACTTTAACGTATTTATTGAATAACTAGCTTTTGCCCGCGACTTTGTTCGCATGGAATAGTGACTTCCTGGAAATTTTTGGTATATAATGAAAATATTCTGTGGTTTTTCAGCCTATCATCAGTATAACGTTTGCTGGAGCAATTTTAGCACATGCAATGTTGGGAACAATAATATTTCTACAGTCTCAAGGAAGTTTTACGCCTGGGTGGCTGCCAGTGTTGGCTATTGTGACCTACGTTTTTGTATACGCTGGTGGGATCTCAGCTATGCCATACATAATTATGGCAGAAATGTTTAACTTTCAGGTGAGCAATATTTTTTATATCAATAAGAGTAGACACATGATTAATTGACTGCAAGGTGACAATGCAACGTGTTGCTGGTCCAGTTCCCATGAAACATATCTGGCCGTGATGTGTATGTGAAATTGTTTTTGATTGTAAATGTCCCCACGACATAGTGCATGGCATTTTTTTATAAAAGGAAACAATAATAACACTTTAAAAATGTGATGTCATGCGTCGTTTATAATAAACACAATATTTTTATTCATTGCAAAAGATACATATGAAGTCTTTAAAAATAAAAAAAATAAACAATTAAATATAACATCTAGGAAAATCGTGTCATTCCCTTCAGCTGAGCATACAAATACCTACTATCAAAACCACATTCGGTATGGACAGGTGTTTACACTTATTGTTTCATTTTTCTTTTCTTAATTTCAGATACGAGCGAAGGTAATGGGTGGCTTAGTGACATATGCGTGGTTCATGTCCTTTCTTCAGCTGGCTTGCTTTACGGCCGTTGCGAACTTTCTTGGGACATACACTGTGGTTTATTGTTACGCCGGTATCAACCTATGTGGGGCTTTAGTTGGTTTAATATTGCTGCCAGAAACAAAGGGTAAAACTGTCGAGCAAATAGAAATGGATATATTAGGTAAAAATAAGCAAGTACACTAAGCGTTTTGTGTTGAAAATTGATTATTTATTTTGTGTACAGGTAAAAATAATGTGTTCTTTTTTTGTTTTTGAATAGTTTTAAATGTTTTATGATAAGTAATAAGTTTATTTATTTGTATTTTATGTACAGGATGCTATTTACTGATTAATAAAAAAATTGTTAGGTATAAAAGTAAATAAATCTTCGGGTCTTCAGAAGTCCTAAATAAAAAAAAAATCTTATGCGAAACCGGGACGGGCGGCTAGTAGAGGAAAGTAACCGCATATGGAATAGCATTTTGATGATGCCACAATATAGAATTTTTTGTCTATTTTTAGAAAAAAAATCTTTCATTTCAATTCCATTGCATATTTGTTGCCTTTCCTCTAAATAAATATTTGTCCTAACTTAGTTCCTAAAAACCAAATTGTAACGATGTTCAATAAATTTGTGATGAACCTATATTTTTATTCTTACCCATTTTTCTTTACATTATACACACAAATTATTTATTTCATGTTCGTTTTATTTAACTAAATGATACAAACTACAGGTTTCAAAGCTGCTGAGGAATCAATTATTATAATTAATTTACCTTCATAATGGTATCAAGATGTTGTTTGTAAAGTTCAAGTGTGTTTGACTACTTAGCTACTGACGTTTGACCTTGAAATTGGTGATAAGTGTAAGAACTTGAAGAGAGACTCAAATCGGGATAACTTGGTATTTAGTTATTCGGATTGCATGGTTAATGCAGTAATTAAAGGCTTACTGCCAATAATCGATTTATATGTATTTCATTTGGATTTCTCAGTTGACATAGATGCTAGGCAAGTGTAAAAGAGCCATGCTTCGGCAAAAATGGGCCGACTCGACCGAAGTGATACCACGTCTTCGTAGAATACTAGCGTGGAACACGCTCGAGTTTTGTTTAACTACACGATTGAGGCGAGGATTTACCATATCGCTAATCTTAAGCACCCCAAAAACCTGTGTTGTTGGTGTCCATAAGCGTGCTTGCTTGTCGACCACACCCATAAAAACAACGATTTGCTGCACAACGTGTCCTAGGAAGCGATGTTGCCGCGTCCTGTACACTGCTTACAAAACTTGCAGTGAAATTTGTGCAGATTTGTCCTAAAACACTTAGCTTTTGTAGGATAATCACTTCACGTCATGTTGGTTTAAGTACTTAGGTACTCGTGGTACTTTAGGAGTGTTGGCACTTAACAGTGGAATCTCCTAAATTTGGATGACTGGTATCGCCTATCCATTATTTGGGCATATGATAGCAAAGAAAAGGGTATGAAATGTTTTGTTAAGTGAAAAGATATGTTCTTCTTTTGCATAGCAATGGTTGTTTACCACTTTTTTAATTAGATTTTGTCTCATTAATTTCTTACGGATTAAGAAAAAGATTTTAAGCAGAGAGAAAGAGAGTCTACTGCGTATTTTGAGACCGTGGTATTAGGTAACGATTTTTGTTGAAAAATAGAAACAGTTTACATGATTTATAGGTCTATAAGACTTAAGAAGAAGCCTTCTGAGAACCTTCAAAACCTTACATGCGATAATTAAACCAATTAAGAACTGAATTATATATAAACTGCTAAAAGTGTGGGAGCACATTCTTTGCCCCCAATGGGCCGTCTTGATAAAGCATCAATGAAATCAAAGAAATCAAAAAAACAATGCTTTTGAATTACTTACCCAATCTGTGCCCTTAACTCCTAATCCCAATCTCCAAATCTCCAATCCTCAATTTTTTATAAGCACTAAATGCTTCTCAGGTAATACGAATGCTCGTTTTAGTTAAAAACCAGGATGCATACCACTTGTGGATAGTAAGTAGTACTTGTGACTAAATATAAGGACAATCAAGCAACGCAATGAATCGATTACCCCACAGTTTAAATGGAGCTTGCTACATCGGTTCTCTGCAAGATCTAGAATACAACTTAACCGTTCAGTCTTGGTGATCATACGCTCAAATAACTGTCAAAGAGAGGTCTTCCAAGCGATTGCTTGGTAAGTACTAAGAATTGGTACAGTCTAGCACATCATTTAGTAGGTAACGATAAATTATAGGGGTTTTTTATGGTATAAGTCGGCAAACGTGCAGACGGATTACCTGATGGTAAGCAATCGGCGCCGCCCATGGACACCCGCAACACCCAAGGAGTTACGAGTGCGTTGCCGGCCTTTTGAGGATAGGGGTTGCGGATATAAGGATCGGGAAGGGATAGGGGAAGGGAAGGGATTGGGCCACTGGTAACCTCACTCACACGGCGAAACACAACGCTGTAGTTGTTTCACGCCGGTATTCTGTGAGGCCGTGGTATCACTCCGGTCGAGCCAACCCTTTCGTGCCGAAGCTTGGCACTCCCACACGTAGAACTTTGTAATTTTAATAAATAATAATAATCTTTGTTTGCATCGAAACATGGTAGAATAAAATGTTACATTTGTTAACAATTAAACATGTTCAGTAGTTACATGATATAATATCAATTATTGTGTGTTTACTAACAATTTATTTTCAATAAAATTTGTTACCAATTTGTTCTTAAATCTAATTGTATTTAACAATTAGAACGGATTACGTATTTTATTATAAATACGGACGGACATTACTATTTTTTTTAATGTGTTAGGACGGCAAACGAGCAAACGGATTATTTAGGGATTGAGGAGGGATTGGCGGAGGGGAAGGAGAGGAAGCCTCCGGTAACCTCACTCACACGGCGAAATACAACGCTGTGGTTGTTTCACGCCGGTTTTCTGTAAGGCCGTGGTATCACACCGGTCGAGCTGACCCATTCGTGCCGAAGCATGGCTCTCCCATACTTAAAAGCTGTGTGTATTAAAAGCTGACTAGTATTATTACTATACTAGTCAGCTTTTATCGGAGGACTTAATGCTAAAAGTATTTTTGCGAGCCATCCTTTGGGTGGTGCTAGATGATATGCAGCAATTTAATAAGAATTTGTTGAAGTTACATACATAAAGATAATATTATATATGTATTAAATAATTAGAACTTATTTCAATTCCCTAGCAAGCCGGCAGGGCACTTGTGTTAAGAGTACCCATAGGCTGTACTGCTTGCTTACCATCAGGCGAAGCGATTCTCGATTGTCGATCTATCCCCAAAAAAATGCGCTTGACAGTGATTTTTACAAGTCTTGGTGAGATGATAAACGTTATCGTTTATTTACTCTTCTATTTTCGACTATAGTCAGTTCTTTGTGTAATACGAGGTCGCGTCTTCCGACTGAGTTATAAGCTATAGCGATAAAATGATAAAATAAAATTTACTTAAACCATTAAGGGCTGATTTTTCAATGGTTAGATAAAACTTATCTGCGGAATAATTATGATGCTGTCGCGTCAGAATATTTGTATAAGACACTGACAGCAACAATTTTATTCCTCAGTGCAATGAGTTATTGTTTTTTTTTGTGAGTTGAAAATCATCCAATAAGAGCAAGAGGGAATGCCAGACTCTTACACTGACTAAAAGCCTCCCGTTCCTTCTCCTGCTCTAGGCCGAGGTCGCGTTGCTTTATTGCGTTTACCCTGCAACCCCGGCTGACAAGAAATAGTACGTGTACGCGATACATATAATAAATATTTGTCTATATCAGAACATAGATCCAAAAAGGCGGGCAACGCACTAGTAACTTTAATTGTGTCGCTAATGTCACCAGGTCAGTGGAGGTTGCTAAATATATAGATTACTGGTATTAAAATGGGCTCGTTTATCGTTTAATTTAGACATTTACAAAAACTGAAGAGGAATTTGAACCTTATTCCCGCTCCGCTTACGCCTATAACAGAAGTCTCGGCCTGGCATCCAGCGATGTTTAATGTACACTGATAAATTCAACAAAAAGATAATGTAATATGATAAATCTACTATCTATGGTCTATTTATATAATAAGTGGTAAACTATTGTGAAATATTTGTTTTTGTTATCAAGCAGATGTTGGAGGCTGAGCTAGGTCATGGGTTCGGTTTTCTTGATCGACATTATTACTTGTTTGGATTAATTTTTACCTCATAAAAGTATATAAATATCAACGGCTGCTCGGCTCCTACAGATTGTAGCCTGATGCGTTATAACCTTTATCGATAAATTAAATAACAAACACAAAATAATTATTCAATTCGAACCAGTAGTTTCGAAGATTCGCGCGCTCTAATAAACAAACTATAAACAAACAAATAATTCAAAGGTTTAAAAGCATTAAAGACGAAAAAAACGTCATATTTTTTTTTAATTTATTAGTATATTTATATAAATTTTGAATTTCACAATACTTCATGTAGGTAGGTATACAATTCGAACCTTTGAATGTTCGAAATTTGAATTTTAAAAGCTAGTTTTGTATATGGACTGACACCATTTCAAGACAAGTTTGGTTGACCTGGCGATTTAATTGATACTTAATTAAGGATATAATCGATAAGCGCAATGAGGCACCGCGACCTCGGCCCAGAGCAGGAGAAGGAACAGGTGAGTTTTTAGTCAGTAAGAGTCTGACACTCCCTCTCGCCGAGCCCTGGGCGGGAGAAGTCATTTGATGATTTTCCTCTCACAAAAAAAAACACTTCACTGGACGAAAAACTTATATAATATCGAGCAATGAAGATTGTTAACTCACATCACTACACTTAAAATTTCAAAGATCCGTCATTACAGCCTTCCACTTCTACCCTTAAGATAATTAACTGTCATCATCCTCATCAAGTAAAAGGGATTTTAAATTACTTTAACAACCATCGAAGTTGGTTTTAACTTCCTTCCAAAGTAAACTTTTTGATTAATTTAAATTTATTAGACGATTTTTGAGGAGTTGACAGGTTTTTAAGTAGTCTTACTCTTTTGTCATAACTTCTTAATAGGTGTTTTTTTAAATGTTATTTTCAACTGAAATATCTTAAAACACTGAGATAGAAAAAATATCACCAAAAGATTGTATTATTAATTTTATTCTCTGTAGAATAAGTGTGTTAACGTGCCGCGCGTGC